GCTTGAGGAGATCGGTTCTACAGTAGATTTTATAATTGGGCAAAACTTACCAATATTTTATTCATTCATTTATGCTAATGAGACCAAGTGGAGAGCTAGCTATTAGTATTACTCAGGTGAGTTTTTATCCTCTTACTGCTACTTTACTTCCGGATAAGGGAGTGTTTCTTGAGTATTTAACATGCCGACGTGTTTTCATTCAATTCTAACTATTTCACCGTGGCTCACTATGATTAGCTTTAGAAGAAGAAAAACACTAATTTGGAGGGGCACTCTCACAAGAGTGTGAGTTCTTCCAAGCTTGTGGGTAATCAGTCTAGAGGAACTTGGAGGGAGATGGTGGCTCCATGGCTTCAGGCTATCTCAATCTCTGTGTTTGTCGTCTCCTCTCATTTGTTAGTTAGATTAAAAACAAACAGGGCAGTTAATCAGCAAAAATAGAAATCCACAAAGACAATATTTGCAATAAAATCCTGTGCTAATAAAGCCCTCAAACAAAACTGTATGGTGGCAGGCCACCACTAGCCACAGAACCTACAAGATTGTCACCACATGGGGAAACAAGAAGGAAGCAAAGGTATTTGCGAACTGTAGATCCTCCCAAGACATCAGATGGTCTGTAGCAAACACAATGGCTGTTTTTGGAGCAGAATTCTACCATGGGGGCACTTATCCTGTCCAACTTCAATGTGATAGTTTTTGTTTTATCTAGTGATATTTTACTTTGTTATATTTTAATATTTTTAGAAGCCTTCTCTTTTCTAATGAGAGACAGAAAGGGAGTAAATATGGACAGGAGAGGAGGTAGGAAGGTACTGGGAGAGGTAGAGGGAGGGGAAACTGTAATCAAGATATATTATGTGAGCAAAGAATCTATTTTCAATGAAAGAAAAAAAAACCCTACTGTTACAAGAAATGAGTGTGGCATTTAACAGGTTGACTCACTGTACAGTAATTTCCAGTAAGTTCCTTTCTATTCCATCTTCCCACCGTAATAGCAACAGCTGTCTGCTTTTAAAGACCAAAGCACTGAATCTAATGTGAAGGGTAAGTTGAGTTTGATGACCTCCTTTAGACTAGGTGGTGGGCTTCTTTTTGCCAAAGCATTGCATTAGCACTATAAAATTAGGAGCTACTGTTGTTAGGTGGCTAATTAGACCAAGCATATGTAAATATTTTTACCATTTCTGTGCAAACTATTAGGCTTAATTCATTGCTGTGGCTCTATTCCAACTGCAGAATTACGTTCTGTTATCCTGAATGCTGTCCCTAGCCACTATGGGAAGACTCATGTTTCATATCTCCTTTAGTGTTGGGATGATGTTTATGGAGCCAGTGAATGACAGCCTTGGATTACGACTTTGGATGACACCTATCTTCCCTCAATATAAAGATTATTGTAGAAACCAGAACATACTGTTTCTGTGTGAATACGTACTTTATAATACACATGCTTTGTTTGAAACAATTTAACTTCATGCCTTAACTTTTGGGGAAGTGAGCAGGTGTTTGGTGGTTTTTTTGTAGTGGGGCAGAATAGAGAAGTGTTTTTTTTAATTGCTTGATTAGTTTTATTATAGTTTTCTAGGTTCTGAATATAGTTGGTATATTTGACTGCCACGTGGGTAATGTGGGGTTGGACTTGTGCCTTAGAGTGGTCTGTCACTTTTCCCTCAAACATGAGTCCACATAAGAACCCCGAATAGATAAGCTGAAACAACATAGAAACCACAGCAGACATGCTAGGTGAAGCTCCATCTATGAAACACCCAGAATAAACAAACTCATAGACTCAGAAGATAGATTAAGATGTGCCAGGGTTTGGGCATGAATAGTAGGCATATGGTACCTTTGAAGAGTGACGGTGTCATGATGTATGTAAGTAGATAGTGGTGTGGTTGTTCATGTAGAAGTGTACTCACAACCAGTGAGTTGTACGCTGTACACTGCCCAGAGGTGGGAGGTAGGGGCCTTTGGAGCCTTGCTCACCTGACCTTTCTCTCACCCACCCAACTCAGGGCTACAAGTTAAAAACCTCTGGACTCAAAAATGAATGCCTTCGCATAGCCAAGCATAGAGACAGGCTATGCTGAAGCGGGAGCACATTCTTCAGTCAATATTTCTGTATATATTAGCTGCCCATGCTAAGAGCAGACACAGGAGCAATGGAATCCCAAATGCTTCTTCCACGGGTCTTCCTTCTGAATTTCTGTTTTAGAAAACATCTGCTCTTTTCCACCTTCACAAGGATGCACATGCCTAGGGCATCTGCTGTCTGAGAATGATGCTGTTGTAGGTGTGCGTGCCCTTTGCAGTTGATGGTGAAGTCTTTTGTTCTCCATTCCAGGCATTCCTCTTTTTTCTCCCTCGACTTTATTCTGCTTCTTTCTCCTTTCTGCCTGGTACAGATTTGGATCCCACAAAGCCCTTTATTTTATACCAGCCCTTTTCCTATAGAGTTGCCTTGAGATGCTGTCGGCATGTGTGTGTAGGTGTATGGGAGAACATGCTGGTGTGTGTTACTCATACCAGTGCTAAGTACATATATACATATGTGTCTGTGGAGGGCAGAGGTCAACTGTGGGGTTCATGTCCCAGGAATTATCCTCCTTATTCTCTTATTTGCTTGAAGTTCACGAACCCCAGGGATCTGCTTGTCTTTCCCTCTCCAGTTCTCACTGATATACAAGCAGTCCCCAGCCCCCAACTTGAATGTCTTTGTTTGTTTATTTACCTTCTCATGAAAAGTTTTGGACCACTGAACTTCTGCTACATGAAGGACAGACCTTCTCTATCACACTTCAGATTGTCCGGTTTTCTTTCCGTTACTAAAAGCAGGCTCGACGCTGTGAAATTGATGAGGACAAGAGGTTGTTCTTGTTGGGGATATTTGTCTTAATAAGAAGAAAAATTAATGGATTATTTTTACTCTCATTGTCTGCAGCTCATGCTTACTTCTTTCTGCTTTGCAATCCCAGAGTAGATTTAATAATAATAAAAAAACCTCTATAACTGTTTAATAGAAGCAAAGTATTTATGTACAAAAAAGCAACTACAAAATAGAAAGCTGTGTACATATATACAGATGTGTGTGTGTGTGTGTGTGTGTGTGTGTGTGAGAGAGAGAGAGAGAAAATACAACTTGTTTGTGTAAAAATTTGTTTTTATAAAGTTCCATGCCTAACTTTATAATGCAAGCCTATAACTCCAGCTACTCTGGACTATTAGGGAGGATTTCAAGTTCAAGGCCCCCCTGGACCATAGAGTGAGTTTAAGGGCAATCTGGACAACTTTGTAAGAATCTGTCTCAAAATAAAATTTAAAAAAGGACTGGGAGATGTGTGTGTGTGTGTGTGTGTGTGTGTGTGTGTGTGTGTGTGTGTGTGTGTATGGGGTTAGCGTACTTCCCTAGCCTGAGCGAGAAACTAAGTTCAATATCCAGTATCTAGTACCATAAAATAAAGAGTTTCAGTTCATAAACAAGTCTGTATGATGCTGGATCACTTGCCATTAAAGAAAAGACATAGAGTAGGACTCAGACAAAAATAGTACATATACATATTCATCGCTCTGTTTGTGTTTTATAGAAAACTTCTCTGTCTCTGTATAAAGAGGGGGAATGAAGTCTATTCAGTGATAGATTTGGAAGCAAACCAGCTGATATAGAACCCAAGTATTAATTCAGCTCTCTGTTAATAATATGAATATGTAAATGCACCTTCAGGGCTAAAGCTGATGTCTGTGTTGAATATGAACACTAGAGTTGCTGATCATACAAAATTAGGCCTAGAGGATAGTTTATGGAATAAGATAAGGGAGTGGGGTTTAAGGACTTTAAGCATCTCTCTTGTAAATGGTTATAGAAACTAATCCTGCCAGGCATGGTGGTACATGGCCTTAGTCCCAGCACTCAAGAGGCAGAGGCCGACCTGGTTTACAGAGCAAGTTGTAGCCTATCCAGGGCTACATAATGAGACCCTGCCTCAACCAAACAAACAAACAACAAACTAAAACCCCCAATTATTTTGAAGTCCTTAAGGAAATAGAAACACTGTATATCACCATTACATTTTAATTCAGGTAAAATAATTGTATATCTATGTGGTTGAGAAAGGAAAGAAACTTATAGTTTCTTTTCCTAATGAAGTCTGGAGGAGGCTCTGTGCTTTCTTTCCCTCTCTTCTCTTTCTCTTTCTCTCTCTCACCTTTATCCCCTTTACTTTTTTTCAGAAAGGGTCTCATGTAGCCCAGGTTAGCCTCATGTACCCCAGGCTAGCCTCGAACTCCTAATCCTCCTGCTTCCGTCTCCCAAATCCTGGGATTATGGGCATGCACCACCAAGCCTGGTTAGAAGGATTGGTTCATTTGATTGCTTTGTTTTCATGCTCAGCTCCTTTGATATTTATTTACGGCCTCCCCAGGTAGCCCCAGGTAGACTGGCCTTGAACTACAGATCCTCTTGTCTCTTTCTTGTATGTGTTATGATATTGGGCATGCACTTCCATGTCCCCTGCCATGTCCCCTGCCAAGACCCTTTCTTTGTTATTATTTGAACTTTCTCCCAACTAGAATGTGTGGTAGCTTGTGGGGAGCCAGCATGGGCTAAGTGCTAACCTTGGCTTCTTAAGCCTAATTAGAACTGTTTAATCTTGAGTACCATCACTTTACTAGTAGAAGGAAATTGGTTTGCTGATAGGAATTTACCAGTAAACTTTCCAAAACTTTAGTTTTGAGGTCAAGTTTTTAAATATTGGACAAATAATAATGATTTACTTTTAACACAATTTTTTAAAAATTATGGAATCATCACTGTAATATATTTTTCATGAGAGTCCCAATTGCCATTTAGTTTCATGATACTGTGCATTCCAAAAATATATAAATTGGCCAAAATTGTTGGCATTTAATAGCATTTAACTTGCCTATGCTCAGATTTTGTTGTAGGTGTTGTTAGAGTCCTTGATGTTTTAATGAGAACTGTGAATCTTTCAACCTCATAGACAACATCTGGGGAAGACGTGCGAGACTTCACGAAGGTACTGAAGAACAAGTTCAGGTCGAAGAAATACTTTGCCAAACACCCCCGACTTGGCTACCTGCCTGTCCAGACCGTGCTGGAAGGGGACAACTTAGAGACGTGAGTTCCATTCTAGCATTCAGTCTGCGAACACTTCTGTCTCTCTATGTTTAATGCTAACAACACAAAAGAAATTCCACAGTACCAAAGAGATGTGTGTCCCAGTGAAATGTTTTATTTTGAAACAGGTAAATTCATTCTCTAACAACAATTAATTTGTATTCCTTGTTTTTTATTTATTTTATTTCTTTTTTTTTTTTTTTTTTTTTTTTTTTTGGTTTTTTGAGACGGTTTCTCTGTGTAGCTTTGTACCTTTCCTGGGACTCACTTGGTAGCCCATGCTGGCCTCGAACTCACAGAGAGTTTTTTTTATTTTTTCTTTAACACCGTCACAGCCTGTTTTTCTGAACTTGCAACTCTTTTTTTTTTTTTTTTAAAGAAATATCTAAGTCAGATTGGGGTATCATTTGCTCTTTCATTTGTTTCCCTTTCTTTTTTCTCTTTTAGAGGTTTCAATCTTTTTGTTATAATAACTTTTATTATTGTTTTATGGGACAGGGATGGAACCCTGAGCCTCACACATGCCAGACAAATGTTCTGCCTTTGAATTATAGTCCCAGCCCTATTTTACATCTTTTTAATATAAATTATCAGTAATATTTCATCTTGTACTTCAAATACACATCTATCCTGAAATCTCATTTTCTGTTTCTTCTTGGTCTTCTTAGAGATGAAAGTGGCAAAATGTAACAACTTTATTCATTGTATGAAATAGACAGAATTGCTTAAAATCTGCGTTTTGAGTTGATAAGCATCTTCACAGAAGTTATGAGAGAGCAAAATCATAATGGGATCATAAAGCTGAGACAGAAAACAAAAGAATCTAGAGCCTGGAATGAGAAGGAAAAAAGCTTTAAAATGAGCCAAAAGACATGCATGGGCATTGTAAATCACTGGGCAGTTATCTATTGAGATCAAAGTAGATGAATTGCTTTCTAAACTATCTACACCAATATTTCAACTGCATCCTTTTTCATGTGCTTGAATGTGCTAGCAAAGCCCTGTATACCTAAAATATGTGGTGAAGAGCGATTAAGGAAAATGCCCAGTGTTTACCTCTGGCCTCCACATGTATGTATGTACATGTGCACACACTCAAACGAGTACAAAAATATAAGCTTTTCTAATTGTTTCCACAACACACATTAAAACAAGTTTTATTAAATTTATTTTATTTAAGAAAGATATTTAAATATATTTACAAAAAGTATTTATCTTCTGGTCTTTTATGAATATGCTTTTGTCTTCAAAGATTGTGTATTAAGAATTCTTCTTTTAGTATGCAATACTGTTTGACTTGCTGAACACTTGATAAGATTTTACTTCTGTTCAGATCACATCTGATTAGCTTTTGTAGTAGCTACTTATGGAAGACAATATTGTAGATATGCTGTCACATGGTCCTGGGATTTAGGAGGGAATATGATAGATTCGTACTGAGCAATGTTGCCTTGCACTCTTTCAATGAATCATTGCCATTTATATCCATCATTCACATGAGCCATAGATAGAAGGGTGTTTCATACTCCTTTTAAGCATTTTAAATATTTTTCCCATTATAGTGTGAATTCTAATTGGTCTTAATAATAAAATCCCACAGCCAAATATTGGGGTAAATGCTGAAAGATCAGAGAGACAAAGGAGCAGGCCACAGCTGTTTCTTACCTCACCAGCTCCTCAGCTAAAAAGGAGGGTGAGATCCTGTCTCCACCTGCCTTATAGTCCTCTCTCTGCTCAGCCATATCACTCCCTGTTTCCTCCTCTCTAGTGCTGGGATTAATGGTGTGTGCTTCCCAAATACTAGGATCAAAGGCATGAGATCCCAAGTGCTGGGATTAAAAGTGTGTGCCACCACTGCCTGGCCTCTCTGGTTAACTAGTGGCTAGCTCTGCACTCTGATCTCCAGGCAAGCTTTATTTGTTAGCACACAAGCAAAATATCACCACATTCCTTCAGTGTCAAAATAATCACAAGATTCAGTTTGTGTATATGCATGCGTGTGCATGTACATGCATATACTGTGTGTGCAGAGGCAAGAGGCTGACATGGGTTGTCTTCCTCAGTTGCTGCCAGCTTATTCTTTGAGACAGGGTCTCTCTCTGTATCTGGAGCTTACTGACTGAGCTAGGCAAGCTGGCCAGCAAGTCCCAGGGATCCTCCAATCTCTGCCTCCTAAACACTGGGATTATAGGTATCCAGCTTCTATGTAGGTTCTAGGGATTGAATTCAGGTTCTTCATGCTTACAGGGGACATATTTTACTGACTGAGCCATCTCCATGGCTCCCAAAGTGTTTTTGTTGAAGTAAAAATTATCAGGAAAAACATGCAAAATAATTTTTTTCTCTGATTTTGACATACTATGCTGAAAATGCATCACCACGCTTAACATAAAATTTCCACCATTTTCCAAGAGGGATACAAGAAAAAAGGAAGGGGCATCTGATTTAAATTGGATGTCACAAGATCCCTTTTGAACAAGATTTATGAGTTACTAGATAGTGTGGGCAGGTTTTCTTCTTCAAACCCTACATAGAGCTCTGCGGATATGCTGTAGTTCATTTTTCTGCTGCGCCCTTTTCTGCTACAAGGTCACTTAATCTTCCAGTAGAACAATTTGTGTGAGTGGGTAGTTTAAAAGAAATGTTTGATTTCATTTATTTTCCTACCTGTGGGAGGAGAACATTGGAGAAAAACCACTGAAGTGGGGAAGGTGTTGAAGCTGTTTATGGAGCTGGTTAGAATTTCCCTTGGCTTATTTCTCTTTCATCTTCACAAATGTAGTGGTTTATCTTCTGACCGGTAATTAGCTATGCAGGCATGCGTGACGGGACTTTACAGGAAGAAACACTGATTACTGAGAGGGGCAAGTATGTCCATGCTAAGGCTTATTCAGTTCATCTTACAAATCTGTGTGCAAGAATTTTCACAATGGAAGTAAGTGAGTTAAAGAGCATAGTATTCATAATAAAGTTAACAAATAAGCTTAAAATAGTGGCAAAAGTAGTTTGAGAGTTCTGGGGGATTATTATTGGCTTGAGAATTTGGTTAGTTTCCCTCAAGATAGAGAGCTCTGATATTGGGTAAAGTGCCCATAGTGTACGCTATCACTCTTTGAAAATTTTACTGTGGCAAGAGTCCACTCATAGCAGATACAGTTGTGGAGATGAATGTTCAGGAGGGACGGATAGCTGTGCTAAGCCCGGCCTGAGTCATGTGCTGAGAACTTGGAGTGCACAGAGTGAAGGAAAAGACTTACTGGCCAAATGAGTCATTTTCAAAAGCCTGGATTGAAGCTCTGTCAGGAAACCAGTATCAAGAACAAAGAGTGAGAGAGAGAGAAAAAAAATAGCCAGATAATAAAGAGTCTTTTTATCCAACTTCTACAGAGTTTATTCTGAGAGTAGTGGAGGACTTCGAGAGTTCACAGGTAATACTAAAGAGGAAAAAGTGGTCAGTGGTTCAGGAAAGGTGATAACATAAAATTACCCTTCATAAAATGAGCCTTATTAGGAGTGAGGGGGCTTCACTACCACAGGAGCCATGGTCATGTCTTGAGGTGGTGGGGCGTTATTAGAGACAATACATCATCATATTGTAGGCAAGCATTATAGAAGCACAAAGGAAGTTGTCTTGGGGGCTAGGGAGATTTCTCAGTGGTTAACAGCACTAGCTGCTCCTCCAAGGACCTGAGCTCAATCCCAGCAATGATGTCAGATGGGTCTCAACCTGTATCTCCAGCTCCAGGGAATCCAATGCCCTCTCCTAACCTCCAGAGGTACCCACGCACATATGTCATGTACATATGTGGTATATACACAGATAAATAAAAAAAATAAATAAAAAAAAAAGAACACACACACACACACACACACACATACACACACACACACACACACACACACACACACACACACACACACACACACACCAGTAGGCATTGATCTTCTATTGAAAGCTTGTATCAAATGTTGTCCTACACTTGAATTTCAGAGATGATTTCCTAAACAGTTACTGTTTCAGGAAGTGTGGTGTAGATTTGTCTGTCTCCTAACATTTAGTATCCCTATTTGGGGATACTGAGTACTACTGATGTGCTAAAGAGGTGGCATAATACTGTTGCTCCATTGTTCCTGCTTCTACTTTCTACTTTACACATACACAGTTAACTCTAATTACAGAACAGGTGTTTTGACAGACATACAGGTTGAATGCTCTTTTTTGAAAGTAGGTCTAAGGAAATTTAGCTTCGCCCAAGAAGACGACCTTACATCTCTTTAGCCTCTGCCCCGCACATACCATCTTGTGCTTCACAGCAGGAGATAATGAGATCATTAACCATGTCTCAAGTTTGCACATATAATAGAAAAGGAAGTCTAGAAGGATTTTGCTTGAATCAGCATTCGCTTTTTCAAAAACGTTATATAATTAAGCAGAGTACTAATTTTCTTTCTGCATTCATTGGGCAATTCATCATTACCTTCCCTCAAAAGTTAGAGTTTAAACTACTTTTTTAATTGGAACGAATTGTTTCGATGGCATTTCATGGATATTTGGGGGCTCTCAGGGGATCTGGGAGACCAGGGCTGCCCACATGTTGCAGCTGGCACCACATAAACCAGCCTCAGACCAAAGTCCAGGGTCAAGCAGAATACATTTGCCAATCTAGTTTCCCAGAGTGAATGTCTAGGTAACACCATACTAGATGGAAGTCTGTCTGTCCTGTCTTAGAGAAGTCGCTCTCAGTGTGCTGATGATTGGACTCTGAGTAGGATCTGCAGAGGCAGGAAGGCCTCACTCTTCTCAGTGTATCTCAAGTTGAGAAACTTGGTGTACACATGACTTGAACTTTTATATTTCTGGATGAAGAAAATTCTTTTTGCTTCAATTCCGATATTGATAGTTTAATAAGCAGGTAATAAATTCACCTTTGTGATCAAGTTTCTTCTCCAAGAAAAACAAAAATACAATTTCTAGAACATTATCTTTGAACAGCCTATAATTTGGGGCGGTTTTAGCACATTCTACTGATCTTTTCAGTCTGACTGTTCTAAAATGTGATTACTGTCTTAAAATACATGTGTCGTAAGAGCTGGCAAAGTTGCTTTTGATTTCCCCGGTGGTGAATATCGAGGTGGCCAAATGTGAGTGGGTGGAAGATGACTGAGAATCCCGCTCCTCCCGCTTTTGTCTGAAATCGCTCTAAATGTTTGTTCTGTGACTTTTGTCTCCCTCTCCCCTCTCTACAGTCCTATCACACTCATCAGTATGTGGCCAGAGCACTATGAGTGAGTATTCACAGCCCCCGTGCACAGGAGGGGAGTTCCGATCGGGCGCATTGCATTAGCATGGGTCCATGCTACTGTTTTTCCCTCCTGGGTGACACTGCTGGTGGTGTGTTTGCATGGCAAATCCGTTACTTAACTAACCTTCTAACTGGTAACGTCTGTCGAGACTGAGAATAAAGCCCTTGCCTTTCTTTTCTCTTCGCAGTCCCTCACACTCCCCTCAGCTGTTTCATGATGACACCCACTCAAGAATCGAGCAATACGCCACGCGGTAAGAGGCCGATAGGCATCCCCTGCTCTGCCCCCCAGAGTGTTTCTGCTTTTGTAGCCGTTCAATGCTGCTGATGGACCTTGCGGTGGGAGTGCATTTGCAGAAGTCATGGTTCTACTACATCCGGAACCTGGGCCTCTATCTTTCCATGGTGGGATTTACACGTTACCAAACACCTGCTATGTATTCTATGAAGAGTAGATTTCAATGGGCTGCAATTACAGAGCTGCTGAGACCGCAAACACGGAGCAGGCAGGATCCAGATAATATAACCTAGTTTCAGTGAATGAAAGTAGTGATTGGAGCTCCTCTCCAGAGACCATGCACATATGAATTGCAATATGTAATTAAACTTACGTTAATGCCTGATTATTGGTGAAATTATTAAGGCCACTCCACGTAGTTAAAAGGAGATTTATTTAATGGCGTAACTTACAAATTAAGGAATAGGTAGGTCGCGGAGTCTGGGGAAGGTGTATCACAGTCCAGCGGTGTTCTCTGGAGCTCTGCTCAGTCCACCTCTCCAGTCCAGGGTCCCGCAACAGAGAGAGAGCCCGCCGATCCAGATCTTGGGTCCCCCGGCGCCTCCCTTGGCCCCACCTTGTAGGCGTGACAGTTGCCGAAGTCTCAATGGGGGTTGGAACTTCCAGATCAAAGCTGGAATGGCTACCCACTACACCTGATTGTTAGGGTTTGTCTTTAAATCCCGAAACAATGCAAAATATAGGCCTGCAGGTAGTGTGCAGAACTTTTCGGGAAATTGCTTAATACCAACCATTGGTGATCCTGGAAGCAGCTGTGTCCAAAATCTCTAGTTTAAGACCCATTAAAACAAATGGTAACATTTGAGCTGAATTGAGACTACGTCACATTTTTGGAGAAAGGCACTCTTGGGCTGATAGAGAACATGCTGTGAAAAGACGGTGGCTTGTTTCCTGAGCCACAGAAGGGAAAGGAGTTGAGAGACCATGGGATGCCAAAACCATGGTCTAGTAACACAGAGCCAGTTGCCCAGGAGTTAGTTCGCATTCTAGATGGAGAAAAGTCCTGGTGACTTTTCAGACCTTAGAGAAACATACTTAGATTTGTGTGTGAAGGATATTTCACCTCAGTGGGGACCAGCTGGAGGGCCTGGGAGCTCAAGAAGAAGACTGCACACTGTAGTGTAAGATAATAGCCTACAGACCCTATGTGAGTGGTAAGCAAATGGCCCCTCACCAGGAGAGATGTTTTCCATTCAACCACTGTGCGATATCTGGACCCTTTTCTGTTTACAGAATGAATGAAGATTTAAAAATAATGGATGACCACAGCAGTTGTGGCCACTTGATTTTTGTCCCTTGTGTTTGTATTTTCAGACTGGCCCAGATGGAAAGGACAAATGGATCTTTTCTGACAGACAGCAGCTCTACCACAGGAAGCGTGTAAGTGCATCCTGATTGAATCTTCCCAGGAGGCTGCCTGAAAGGGTTTTGCTTCAAAAGAGTATCTTGGCAACTGGGGCCAAGGCAGGCTACAAAAATCACACCACCTCATGCAAAAGATTTACTGGGGAGGTCTGTGTGTGTGTGAGGTGGGGCACACAAAAGACTGCCTCTGAACAGGATGGAAAAACAGAGGTGACTAGGTTGTGATGGCGGGCTTTATAGGGGGTATGGAGCATACACATAGGGAAAATATATCAGGGTGGGAGCATGTCACATTAATGATGACAGGAGTGTTGGTGGTGAGTCATTGAAGGTGAGAGGAACCTGGTTCTGGAATGTGGGACGTTCTTAGTTGACTAACACTACCTCCTTGTGTTATGGTCTCAGAAATAATCTTCATGGACCTCTGAGTTGGGATCCCAATCAAAATTGATGTGTGTTTCCAAAAAGTCTGTGTATATTTTATGCTTTTAAGTCATCTTAATGTAAATGAAATATGTTTATTTACTTATTTGTTTGTGTCAATGAATCAGCTCACCTGCTCTAGAACAATCCGATTGCTTTACAATAATATAATATTGATATGCACTTTTGTGGATGTGTGTTACATGTTTGTATTTCTGTGGGTGTGTATACATATGTATATAGGTGCATATGTTTGCACATGTGTGTGGAGGCCAGGGATCAACATCAGGTGTCTTTCTCAATTGTTCTCCACTTTACGTTTTTTGAGACAGTCTCTCTCAATGAAAATGGATCTTATTTATTTGGCTAGGTTGGCCAGCCAACAAGCCCAAGGGATCTGTCTTTCTCTACTCCCCACCTCCAGGCCCCTTGATTCCCATCAGCCTTAGTGTTGCAGGTATGTGCTACCACACCTAGATTTCACACCAGTGCTGGGGATCCGAACTCACGTCCTCATGCTTCCATGGCTAGCACTTTGCCTACTGAGTCATCTCCTCAGCTCATAATAATGCTGTTGAGTGATTATTTTAAAATACACTTCCATAGAATCGACACACTTTTGCAAACCCCCCTTTTTCCTGCTCACTACCATTTTCTCCACAGTCTCTGTTCTCTTAGCAATGCTATCCACACATGCTTAGACGTATTCTCCCTGCCGTTCATTTGAAAGTAACTCCCTTGCAAATATTTTATTTTATTAGGAAGCGAGAAAAGCCTCATTGACTTTGGAATATCTTTTTAAAATAGCTTCAAAGCCGGATATTTTATGTCTGGCTTCCTTGCTATGCATCTTCAGCTTGGTTGTGGAAGGCTCTTGGCAATTGCTTTCTCGCTGATGATCCACTATAATAGATCTTCTTTCTTGGGAACTTGTTTTGACCTTGTTTTTCACATTAGTTATGAGATGATGTGTAAGAGACTTCTGTAGTTTCGAGTTGTTATGACTTGTGAGCTCAGTATGGTTCGACCACACAAGGAGGCCTAGGAGGAACAGAGAATACCTAGAACATAATACCTACATGGTTTTCACTAACAAAGACTGGAGAAAGCCAAGTAGAATACCTTAAGCCAATGATTCTCAACCTTCCTGACGCTGTGACCCTTTAATACAGTTCCTCATGTTGTGGTGATCACCAGCTATAAAATTATTTTTGTTGCTATTTCATAACTGTAATTTTGCTAGTGTTATGAATAGTAATGTCTGGTAAGCAGATGCTCTTAGATGACCCCTGTGAAAAGGTCATTAGATCCTCAAAGGGGTTCGACCCGTATGTTGAGTACTACTGCTAAGCAAACTGATAAAGAATGTCTCCCTCATGTGTATTTTATTTTTCATTTGTCATTAAGCTTATACATGGACGCTCTTGTGAAATTTTTCAATTTTAAACATCAAAGTTTGGCATCTTAACACTTAACCATCATACAGTCATGACTTAAGCATCAGTGTTCAGGTGTTTTGAACCAGAATCCATTTCCAGCTCAAGATAACAAAGCGTTTGCTCTGTTCTTTCATATGTAACCTACCAGTAGGTATTTCATCTAAAGTAATTAAGTATCTTAAATAACTTTTATTTTTTTTTTTATTTTTTTTTTTTTTGGTTTTTCGAGACAGGGTTTCTCTGTGTAGCTTTGCGCCTTTCCTGGATCTTGCGCTGTAGACCAGGCTGGCCTCGAACTCACAGAGATCCGCCTGGCTCTGCCTCCCGAGTGCTGGGATTAAAGGCGTGCGCCACCACCGCCCGGCTTAAATAACTTTTAAATCAGCCTAATTCTCACCAGTGTTGAAAGTATCAGGGAATTAAATGAAAAAAAAAAAGTTAAGGTAAAAGTCTAACTTCTTTAACGTGTTTATTTTTGTATGTGAACAGAATACAGGCAATGTTCAAATTGAATATACACTGTCTTCAAATTAAAATAAACACTATTTTAAATTTTATCACTAATGTTTCAGAACAGAGAAGATAACTGGATGATTAGCAGCTGAACAGATTTAATATGCTGCCATTTGATGTGATGATTCATTCAACAGATGTTTATTTTATTCCTAGAGTATAAACATACAGTAAAACGATGGAGCCACTTCTGAGAGGCAGTTATTTGTAGGCTATTTGGTAGAGCCCTACTCAAATTGGTATGTCCTCACATGTATGTGCAATTACAATTAAATTAAAATATTATTAAGAGACAGTACTCAGAACCCCCTAGCCCTGTTTTTTGTTGTTATTTTGTTTTTGTTTTTTATTGTTTGTTTGTTTGTTTTCTTTTTTCCTTTTTTTGGACAGGATTTTACTATGTGGCACATGCTGGCCTCAAATGTCCAACCTTCTACCTCACCCTATGAAGTGTTCTTGATAACAGGCATGTGGCACCACCTTTACCTAATTGTACTGTCCTTTCTGCCCCAGGATTATGTTTAGTCAGGTGACATGCAGCTGTGTGTCTTCTCCAAACTTGGTATGGAACGGTGAGCTAACAGTTGCCCACGGTGACAGCCCTTCAGCCACAGAGCTAGGAAAGACCATGGTCAATGCTTTCTTTTGTTTATTTGTTTGTTTGTTATACCTCCAGCCACAGCCAACATGCCTGTAGTTTCAGTTGGCTTTGATCCCTCAAATTTGATCATGGAAACAATTCCCTGTCCTCTCCCCAAGCATTCCCCTCCATGAAATCTTTCATTGTTCATTGAACTCTCTTGTATCATAGGATGCTAATTTCTTAGCCTGGAATACATACCAGTTTCCCAGCTTTAGTCCCCACATACGTCCAGTCTCAGGCACTCCTTATTTTTCCCAAAGCCTGACTCTGGATGATTTAGCGAGGCACTGATTTTAAGGCTACCAAGCACCTTTGTAGGAAGAGTTGATCATATAAATGTAGGAAAAGTTGATCATAAACATCATAAGGGACAGGACTCAGGACAGCCCTAAGAACCCTTAGGCCACAGTTCCTGAGGCCTTTGCCAGGTTCTCATTCTGTCTACTTTCTGCTACTGGGTGGATCGAAGTGGGAGCTTGGTTGTGGTTTACACTGGAATTACTGTTTCTAAGTCTAAAACCCAGAAAAGACCATTGGTTTTAAAAGGTCATCAAGAGAATCACAGTTCTCTCATCATGTGATAGGTACTAATTTTGTAATGTAGATAGTATTTACTATGTGTGAAAAATACAGTATAATTACATTCCATTTAACGATACTTCTTAGTGCAGGCCTACGTTTAAAAAATACTTTCTATTTCAGCATGGTACATACTATTGATACTTAATGACCCTAATCTTGTGTATGATGTAGCATCTACATAATGAGGGTACTTTTGGTTTTTATTATACACAATTAAAGACTAGAATGTATCTATTTTTTGAATTTAACCTTTACGACTAATAATCTATGAAAAACATTTAAGGCCCAAATTATAGGCTACACATAAATTATTTCTATTTTTTTTATTTTTGTAGAGATGGTTTTAATTCTCTTCCAGACACCATAACAAACAATGTACTGTTAGTGGCCATGATAATTATAACAACACGCTGTACACCATCTAGTTCAAAAAAGAGGAAAACTTATGTAAATGTTGACAACAAAATGCTTCCCAAACAGAATTTCAAGGGATTTCCCAGTGCTCAACTTTAAAAAATATTTATTACCTCTCTCTCTCTCTCTCTGTGTGTGTGTGTGTGTGTGTGTGTGTGTGTGTGTGTGTGTACACGCATGCGCCATGAAAGTCAGAGGACAATTTATGGGAGTCAGTTCTCTCCTTCCACCCGCTGGGTCCTGGAGATCAAACTCCGGTCATCTGGCTTAGAGCAACCACATTTACCTGCTGCGTCGTCTGGCTGGCCCTCCCTGCCAGATTTCTGTTTGATTTCTCTGTGTGGGTAGCCTAGGAGTTCTGTCACCTCTGCAGGGCGAGTGTACCCGTTTTTCTGTTCTCCAGGAGATTTTATAAAGGCTCCTTTTGTTCCCCCAGGGACCTCGCATTTACTACTAACAGTGAAAAGATGATGCCATAGCCAACTCCACCTCCTATGCCATCTACCTGCTGCATTTGTTCACTCTACCTGTGTTGTAAACAGCCCATCAACACCCCTGGTCAAAGGCATTTCATAGGAAGAGAGAGGTCAAGTTAGGCACTTAAGCTTAGCCAAAGTCTATGGCTTTTATTTTTTATACACGCATGTATGTATACACACATTCATATGTATGGGTGTATACAGTGAGAGTGTACAGTCAGTCTCTCTCGGGGGTGGGCTGGAGAAGAGAAAGGGAAGCTACATGCAGGAAGGAGGCCCAGTAAGTAACCAGTAGGTCACTGGAGCTCTGTTCTGGTACTTAGGCAAGCATAATACTCAGTTTTCTCTTTGGCTTCATTGTGTCTCTGATCTCTGTGCCGGAGCACACCTTATCCAAGAACACGCTAAATTATAGATGCAATTTCAGACCCCTGATTGTCCGAGCAAAGGTGTGAGATGCCAAGGATGGATTTTGTGTCACGCACAAGAATCAGAGTGCTTGCCCAGTATCCGGTACGAGATACTCACCTGTACGAGAGCAGAGAGCAGAGTGATCTCAAGGCCCAGGTGAAAGAATGAAAGATCCAGGACTGCCGGGTTCTCCTTGGCTGTTTTAGGACATGCTCTGGTTCAGGGCAGCAGACGAGGCTGCTGAGAGATCCCTGCGGCCACACAGCTTCCACTGAAGGTTCAGCCATAGGACAGTTCCATTTTAAACTCTGGTGGCCGTATCACTTACATCTTCTTTTCCTGAGGCCTTATCCTGTATCTCCACTGCTGGTCAGAAACTATTGAAATGGGCCAGGTCCAGTGTGCCAGAGGGCTCTGTAATCTCATGAGCCAGGAGATGTGGCAATCACACCTTCCTGAGGACATCCAACTAGATCTGCCTGGAAAAGAAAGAAAAGATATTTCCGGCAGACAGGCTTTGTCTCCTTGGTCTGTCTACCCTACTGCTGATGTATCTACTTCAGTAACAGATCATTAGATGAGGAACCTCACTGAATTAAATGCAATTAATGATTTAGTGCAGGATATTGGTCCTAAAAATTATTTGTGATTGTACCAGGTAAAATATCTATTGCTATTTTTATAAATATGTACAATTGTGTCTATGCTGTTAGTTAAATAAAAATGTAAGTTAAAAATTCTTTGGATTATCAAACATGGCAAAATTGGTCACAACCAAATCTAAAGATCAGTTGTTCTTGGCTCAGTGATCTTTTAATCTACTGCTTTGGTAGTCATTGAGTGATATGTTTGCCTATAACATCTTAAACTTTTATATTAACTGCTTCTAGGCATGTCCAACCTTTGGACATTGTAACATTATGTTGTTATCTACAAATATGTTAGACCACATCCCAAGCTAATTCTGGGCTGCATGCAGCCTGTGTCCATAAGGTGGGAAACATCCAGTTAAGCCTATTTATAGCAACTTATTACTCTTATTTAGAGGAACTTTTGTGCCTTATTTTATTTTCTCTATAGAGTGGAATGACTCTTTGGGGATTGTGAGAATCACAGATTATGACACTCATGTTTTGAGATGTTGAGTTTATCATACACAAGCCCTGAATATTCAGCCTGAGTTTTCTTTTTCTTTTCTTTTTTTTTTTTTTTCTGGTTTTTTGAGACAGGGTTTCTCTGTGTAGTTTGGAGCCTGTCCTAGAGCTCGCTCTATAGATCAGGCTGACCTTAAGTCACAGAGATCTGTCTGCCTCTGCCTCCTGAGTGCCGGATTAAATGTGTGCGCCACTACCGCCCAGCCAGCCTGAGTTTTCAAAGGACTCTCATGGAGACACAGAGTTTCAAGGCAGCCTGGTCCAGCCACCAGTGCCAGCATCACTGTTGTTACTTCTTGTGTGCTCAGAGACCTCACCACCCAGGTGTGAGCCGCTGTCTATCTTCTTTGTCTCACTAGGGAGGACGAGCATGCCCTCATCCAGCAGTACTGCCAGACACTGGGTGGGGAGTCTCCCGTGAGCCAGCCACAGAGTCCAGCTCAGATCTTGAAGTCCGTGGAGAGGGAAGAGCGCGGGGAACTGGAGCGGATCATTGCTGACTTGGAGGAAGAACAAAGGTGTGCTAGACCCAGCCAAAGAAAATACAAGGCTCTCTCTCTCCTGGGAAGGCCAACAGCCCCTCCCTGCCCTCTTTTTAGAGCTGTAACAAAGACATCACAAGGAGGTCGAGGTTTGGGAGGATATTAGCTGGCTGGGATGTGAGTGGAGCCTGCTGTAGCTGAGTTTTCTTGATGGAGCCTGGAAGCACTCTTTCTTGAAAGCCATTTTCTTCCTCCTCCCTCTTCCTGTTAGTAAATGTTTCTCCATAGGACAAAGTTAAGCAGTACAAGCTAAATTTGGAGTTCCTGGACAGTTTGGGAGAGAAGAGGATGGACCTCATAATAATTCTGTTGTTTTGTTTTGTTTTTCCTTTTCTGGATTAGGAATCTGCAGGTGGAATACGAGCAGCTGAAGGAGCAGCACCTGAGAAGGGGGCTCCCTGTGGGCTCACCTCCAGAGTCCATCGTATCGCCTCATCACACCTCCGAGGACTCAGAACTTATTGCGGAGGCTAAACTCCTTCGGCAGCACAAAGGGCGGCTGGAAGCGAGGATGCAGATCTTGGAAGATCACAATAAACAGCTGGAGTCTCAGCTGCACCGCCTCAGACAGCTTCTGGAGCAGGTAGGGATGCAGAGTCCTGTGTAGTACCTCTACATGGCACCTCCCAGAAGCCCGGGTCTGGCCATGGTAACTGTTAGGATATCCACCTTCAATTCTTCACTGCCACGGTTAGTTAAGTGTTTACTGGCTCAGAAATCCCTGTTCATGTGTACAAATGTAATCTTCACCAATACAAACATGTGTTTTCCCATCTGACTGTAGAATTTCTTCTTCTTCTTTTGTGCTGAAATCTCAGCTTAGAATATTTTAATTTAAAAGAAAAATCTTGTGGTACACATGAGCCTGCATACGGAAAGCGTCCATGGAGATTGGGGACAGACAGCAAGTGACCTCCAATCTTCCATCTCTTTCTTCCAGTGAACTCACCAGGAGTGAGCGAGCAGATACCTCAAAAGTCACCCAAGGAACATATGGCTATGAATTTGCTATTGTCATTTCCTCACAAGGCGGGGGGGTGGGGGTGGGGGGGTTCCATAGCAGTGGCTTGCAAACTTTTTTGACAATAAGAAGCACAATTTATGTCGAGAGGAAAACGTGTTTATGATGAATCCAAAATAATGCACGCCTTTAGCAACGATGGCACCTCTTACCCTGTGTTCCCTGTTTTTCCGTCTCTCCTTCCCTTTTCCCTTCCCCTGCTTTTTCCTTCCCCCTCTTCCCTCCCCCCTCCCCTTCCTGTTCTCTTGCTTTTATTTCTTGATATTGATCAGAAGCGGATACACTCCTTTCACAGTTCAGCACGGACTAATAACTTACAATTGTGAAAAACTGCTGTTCTTTGGTTTACAAAAGAAGAGTAGGGTGCGGCTTCTGCCTGTCTGCTCCTAGCAGTCGTGTGAGAGAAGACAGCGTAGCGGGAGACATGGCATGCTGCAGGGGGTCCAAGGCTTGACTGACTTAATGTGAGGAGGAGAGTCAGCTCACAGAATTAGCAGTGAGGAAGGCTCTGCTGTAGACGCCTGTAGGGCCGAATCCCCGCAAAGGATTTCTTGACGGGCACCAGCATCGTATCACAGTTACCTTTTTTTCCAGCCTATGTGCTGTAGCATCCGGTGACATCCTAACGGAGATGCCTTTTTTTTTTCCCCCACCAATTATGTATTGCATCAAAGCAAAACCAACCTTTCTCCAGGGGATTGACTTACGTTTGAGAAGGCCATCTTGACATAGCTGCCGTCAGGGTCTTTTCATCCTGTCAGGAGTCTTGAAAGCATTATAATTTGTGCATTACCTACCTTGTGAGCAGTAGACCTCTCTCCTTCCTTTGGCCATTTGCTCTTCTCTCTGCCCGTCATTGTAGAGTTTCATTGACATGGCTGTGGGAGTCATTTACCTAAAAGCCTGGAAATTCTGTATATTGAGAAAAATAGTGGTTTCCTAAGTGAATCCAGACTTGGCTTTCTGTTAAGACCTCGGCTTGTCAGCTTGAGCCTAACCTCAATATCACATACACTGGGGGCGGGGAGGACATGTAGAGTGAGTTTGAACTTCCTGAGCAGTGCCTAAATAGAGGATAGGTTTCCTTGTGTGAGCTCTAAGAACAGTCGTTCTCAACTTGTGGGTCATGACCCCGTGTGTGTGTGTGTGGCGGCGGGGAGGGGTTCGAGTGATCCTTTCATGGGGGTTGCATATAAGATATCCTCTATATCAAATATTTACATTATGATTCATAACAGTAGCAAAATTACAGTTATGAAGTAGCAGCAAAAATAATTTTAGGGCTTGGGGTCAGCATGACCCGAGGAACTGTATTAAAGGGCCGTAGCATTAGGAAGGTTGAGAACCACTGGCTTAGAGCATCAAATGTTAATGTACACACCTTAGTGTCCACCTGGAACCATCCCAGAAGCTTGCTTGCAGCCTTTGCTCAGCTGCAGCTTGATGATGCTCTTAGGAAGCAAGAAAAGGCTCCTGGGCTCATTCTAACCTCACCCCACTCCCTCCATCCTATTAGACCCAGGGCCTAATGGCTCATGTGCTTCCAGACTTACACAGTAATGCTTTTGGAACTAGCAGATATCCAAGTGGCTCAGACTATCCCAGTCTGTGATGCTCTTATCTCTTTGTAACGATTTAGCATAAGTGCCAGAAGTAGATGGTAAATTTAACTTAATATGAACAGGGGAAACTACCAGACTCCAACTAATAGAGATTTAATGGAGAATCTGCATTAAAAAGTAACTTCTACGTCCCCATACTCTAGATCCAACTTCCAATTTAACCATGTACTTACCAGCACACCCATCACCAGTTCAAAGATATGCACAGCAGCTATTATGAAGGGTTTGCCCTGCATCAGGCTGGGAAAATGGCTTTAGAAAGACTCATTCATCATTCTCCTGACAAAATTCTATGACATGGCTGTGGTCGGTTGGTAAAGCTTTTAGCACAGCTTCCTCTTGACTCTTGAGTGCACACCAAGTTAACACTGAAACAGTTCATACACACAAAACCTGTGACACAGAAGGTTCTGTGGTTTGCCTCGAACTATACCGCTCTTGAGCAGCACAGCTGGAATCCGGTTTCAACCTGCTGAATACAAAACCACTCTGATAAATACTCTCTCGACATCACCTCGGAAGGGAGCAATTTTGAAAGTTAGAATGTTTGCCATTTTAGAATCCCAGTGCTAGTTTCCAAAAAGATAAACCCGACCTACTTCTAAGTTCACTAGGTTGATATAAAAATAATACAGAATTTGAAAGATAGAGATAGCAGAAATAAATCCTGCAGCTTAACCCAGTGAGTCCTTCAGAGGACAAAGATGGTAGAAAGAGCATGTGGTACTCATGCTCCCACGCAGCCAGTGCTGAAATGCATCTGAAGGCACCCAAAGACAAGCACTTCTTTAGGCCCTTCTGCCCATGGTGGGAGTGGGGGAGGAAGCCCCATTCTTTCTAGGTTCCGTGAATCTTTCTTCCTCTAACTTCCCATGTGGTTTCAGCCTGACTCTGACTCCCGCATCAACGGTGTCTCCCCCTGGGCTTCGCCGCAGCATTCTGCATTGAGCTACTCCCTGGACCCCGACCCGGGCCCACAGTTCCACCAGGCAGGTGGGTGTCTCCGAAGCAAAGCCACTGCATACAGTCTGCTTGGGATTCAGCTATCTTTTCTGTTTTTCAGTTTGTCAGCATTCTTACATCTGGGTGCTTTAAGCATAAAACATTATTCTCTCTAGTCTGCAGTGAATGCAGAGCCATTTGAATAATATCAAAAAACACTTTAGTTACGAGGTGCTTGTTTGTAAAATGTGTAGGAGTAGATTCAATTTTGGTGAATGATGAAAAGTGCTCTTTTCATTTGAAATAAGCAAGAAATTAATGTTTTCTGCTTTGAGAATAGTCTGTGATGTGTGTGTGTGTGTGTGTGTGTGTGTGTGTGTGTGTGTGTCTGTGTATGTGTGTGTGTATACTATATGTACATGTATGTGTGAAGGTGCTCCCAGAAGCCAGAGGAGGACATCAGTGTCCAGCTCTCAGTCTCCACTTTATTCTTTGAGACAGGGTCTCTCACTAAACCTAGAGCTAGGGTGACCAGCAAGCCCCAGCAATCTCTCTGTCTCAGCTCACCTCACCCCCTCATCACTAGGGGTTACAAGCGCACATGATCACAGCCAGCTTTTGAGGTGGACTCTGGAATCCAAACTCAGATCTTCATGCCCATGCAACAAGCAGTCTTACCTTCTGAGCCATCTCTTCAGTCCCTGGGAACGATCGTTTACAATATATTATTTCTCTACAATCTTTACAGTTGTGCACGTTCCAAACCTAAGGCTGAAGAACATCACCAAACCTGGTTTTCTCTACTTTATCCCTCCCCGTCTCAGTGGACCTGGCTCTGCTCGCCCGCTAAGGCAGAAGTGCCACCAACACCATCAGCCACAATGGGCACCTCTCCCTGACAATTATGGTGTTAAAAACACTATTGTGGTTTCAGTCCTAGAATAAAATGCATATCAAAGCACAAAGAACTATAGAACATAGGTATCTTTTACATCAAGATAAAATAGCCTGTGATAAAGGCTCCCAAATAAAAATGAAAGAAGAAAGAAATTGGTAGAATATTTTTATGTGCAAAGTAATGGATTTTCAACTAACACATTGCATCAAATCCACTGTTCCTTATTTTGCAGTTTTATACTTTCTCTCAGTATATAAATTTGTCCACACACACATAGAATACATTTTTTAACTATATAAAAGTCTACTGCTGGGGCTGAGGATATACCTCAATGGTAGAGTACCTCCTAGCTTTTACAAAGACCTGGGTACAGTCCCCTGTGTGTCTCTCTATACTATATGTGTGTATGTGTTATATTACACATGTCCAATGAATACAGATGTCTCTCCTAATTCCCTCTAAAATGGTTCTTTTCAATGAGAATTCATATCCCATTAATATTTTGAGGGCTGGTTGCAGTATTATTACCTGCACGGGGTTCTTTGGTAGAAGGACGCGCAATAATTTCAGGCTCCCTGCTTTTTCTATCTTTTGTCACAGCATCTGAGGACCTACTGGCCCCGCCTCATGACACCAGCACAGACCTCACAGAGGTGATGGAGCAGATCAACAGCACGTTTCCCTCTTGCAGCCGTGAGTAGGAATGACTGTGACACCGCCACCGCAGGGTGTCTGTCCTGTGCCCTTTCTCTTTCTCCATATGTAACCCTCTGTCTTCTTTGGTATGATAACAAAAGCCAGTGGTAGGAGCAAGATAGCAGGATGTTCTGCAATGATACAGGTGTATACATTGACAAAGAAAATGGAGCCCCACAGAGACACCAGACAGATCATGAGATGCAATGAGAGTAGGATCTCGCTCTTGGAAATTTTCCCACATGGCTTGTAAGTGACTAAATAAAGTCCAGTAGAACAATGCCTGCTTTTAGGACAAAACTTCCCGTAAGTACAGGCTATAAGAAACTTGTGTAACTTCAAGGAAGAACACTGAATGGCATGCCAAAGTAGGGTGAAAATAGCCTTTCTAAGGTAACTCCCTAACTTCCCTGAGACATACATATCGTCAGATGTCTTCATAGTCAGGCTCAGAAAGAAATTATTTCTGGCTTCCCATCCCCTTTGGAAGTGTGTTTTTTTTTTTCCAGAAAATAAAATAATCGTCATGTAAAAGCCAAGCAATTCACAGGGTCACAGATTATGAGTCTGAATTCTCCATATGAACAGTCATGAACCAGAAAGTCGCCCAATGAGAGCACTCCAAATCCCAGGGGAAATTACATAATGATTTTAATCAATTGAGGTTTTTAAGTAGTTTCTCTCTGGCCTCTTGCCACCTTGCAGACTCTGCTGGGCTATCACCTTAGAGACCTCCGTGGTCTCTCAGTTAAGCAATGATCTGCTTGTGTCCATAGCCACACCACTTTAATGTTTCAAACACTTTTAAATATCATTAATGTGTCATTTACAATTCAGGGGTGAATCCTCTCAAACTAATGTTAAAGCCAGCCAGTCAGTAAACTAAGATTTTTGTATAAATCTCAGGCTTTCCTTTCACTGTTTATTTCAGCTCCATAGAAAATTCCATCCTAAGTGAGAAAAAAAAATTATCAGTTGTTGGTACTATAGATGAACATGTTAAATTTATTATATTGATTGTAGTTCAAGGTTGAATTTCATTTGAGAGGTTTTTATTCTGACTTATGTATCATTCAATGTCTAGAAAAAAAACTATCATTTTTTTGTGAGTTAGAGTGAGTTAGAGTTTAAAAATTAAAATTTCTGAAAATGATTACCTTTTCGCTCTGCTTACACCTAAATGCATTCATCATTTAAAAACAACTTCTGTAAATTGAATTCTGCTTAGAAGTTTTTATTTAAATATCATGCTGGACCTTTTCGATCTAAAAATCTTTTGGCAGTGAAGTCAGAGTGGGAAATATGCTTAAATCTATGCTTTGTAGTAAATACAAAAATGTATAATTTCTGTATTGAAAACGTTGTGCCACAAGTGCAGGATTTTTATTTTTCAAGTCTCTTTTTCTAAAGCACTTCTAAATCTTCCCCAAAGCATATTCTAATCTGTATATTTGATTTTAAAAATGTTCATCTATGCCTTTCTTAAGACAGACTATAATGAAAAATAAAAAAATTGTAACTGTAGAATAACATTGAGTCTTCGGAGGTAAATGTTGCTGCCTTATGCCCTGACCCCTGATGCAAATATGTAATTCCCATTGTTTGGGACAAGATGAGATGTTCACAGTGATTGGTTCCTGAGATGAGGTTTAGTCTCTATGGAGACCACACTGCAGAGGGTAAACCCTTCCCCTGCCTTGGGATCTCTTTACCTATGAAATCATCTACCTGTGACATCCTCCTCAATGTTCACAGGGTAATTTATAGAGGCTTGCAATTCTTTAAGAGGAAATGGTTGGTATTCTCCAAGTCTGTACATCCAACAGTGTTTATAATGTTGAAATTTTCTGTGGATGAGCACTCTTAGTCATGTGTGTTATTGTGAAGAATTCAACTACCTCTTATGTAAGAAATGGTACATGGTATATTTTAGAATCCTGTGGAATTTACATGCTATTTGTTTTACTTCTGAAAATGGCACTGTTTGCTCTTTTTCATTACTTATATTCATTTTTTTGGATGACATAAAAAATCTCCAAGATAGGGAATGCTTTCTGTTTTGTTTGAAAAAGGGCTTCATTGCCTCATTTATAAAATTGACACATATCTCAGAATTCTGCCGAAAATTATTAAATCATTTCAAATCAGTACAGAATCAATTAGTGCATGGCATAGACCTGGTACCTAATGCACGCTTCCAGACCATGTAGTCAGTGGTTTGCTGGGATGATAATGTTTCTAGCTGGAGAGGTTTAATGACTGAAAATTTCCCAGTAGCACTTAAGAAGGTTTTGCAGGATTCATTAGTTTTAATGCTCCTTTGAAATTGCTCAGTTAGCAAATATTTTATTAAGGCTCTACAATTCCCAAAGCTTATTGACCACCTTTGGAAGTTTATCTAAATAAATAGGATTGGCACCCTCTCAATGCCAAAATGATCTCCTGAGTTTCTGTAACTAAGGAGAACTTTCAATTTGCTTGTAGCCAATGTGTGATCCGCATGTTAATGTTGACTTTTGATCCTTTGTGGATTAAAAAATTTGCATGGCTACAAATGAATTTCTACTCATGGCAATTTTGGAATTAAAATGAGAGTCTGTATTCATAAATCCTAATTGCATGAATTGCCAACTTTAGCAGAATTTTTAAAACCATGTCTGCATGGTGTTGTGTGTAAGACTTTAAAATTCTTGCATTTTAAATTAATATCGCAGTTGGCCCTGAGGGCATCTTTGAATTGTGGTCTTTTAAAATGGCATTGCATCTCAGCACAACAAGGCAGGCATCACCATCTCATCCTGACTAAGAATTAGTGAAATTAGCATCCAACTACTGAGGGATCTGGATGCAGAGATCCATGACTAGGCCCCGGGTGGATCTCTGGGAGTCCAATTAGCGAGAATGAGGAGGGTTTATATGAGCGAGAATTGTTGAGACCAAGGTTGGATAAAGCACAGGGACAAATAGCCAAATGAATGGAAACACATGAACTATGAACCAATGGCTGAGGGGTCCCCACTGGATCAGGCCCTCTGAATGGATGAGACAGTTGATTGGCTTGATCTGTTTGGGAGGCATCCAGGCAGTGGGACCAGATCTTGTGCTCATTGCATGAGTTGGCTGTTTGAAACCTGGGGCCTATGCAGGATTGTTTGGCTCGGCCTGGGAGGAGGGGACTAGACCTACCTGGACTGAGTCTACCAGGTTGACCTCAGTCTGTGGGGAAGGCTTTGCCCTGGAGGAGATGGGAATGGGGGGGGGGGGTCTGGGGGAAGGTGAGGGGGACGGGAGGGGGGAGAACAAGGGAATCCGTGGCTGATATGTAGAACTGAATTGTATTGCAAAATAAATTAATAAAAAAAAAAAAAAAAAGAATTAGTGAAATTAGTGAATGGAATTTAATTTGTGCTGACAATTAGCCAATCATGTAGTAAAAATTCTATTGAAGACTATAATCATTTCTTTCTTAACATAATATAGTTTTCTTATGTTGTTTAAATGTATGGAATATTTGTAGTGAGTTGAGTAATTTTTTGCTGCTGGAACCAATGCTTTTAGAATTATTATTAACCTACAGGCATATTTCCCCTGTGACCTGCCTGCATGTGTCAAGCTTGAATGACATCTATCAAAAACTCAAAACTTACAAAAGTACAATGATTTCCTAATTTTCTTTAAAAAAAAAAAACCATATATCTATACAGTTTGTTCAGGGGATCTCCTACAGCCTTTTGATTAAGAGAGATAGGAAGGCAAAATGGATTAGACTTCTGTCAAGGGTTTGACTATTATATATTCATTATTTAAGGGACAAGCATAACTGTCTTTCAGATGGAATGTATATGTAACCTGTCCTTACTAGCAATTCAATTCAGCTACCCTGGGGTAAAGCTCACATTCTTACACAGGTTCACTCTTTTTTTTTTTTTTTTCTCTCTCTCTCTCTGATGGACCATACCTTTAGGACTGGGCTTGTTTTAGCCTCGTTCTTCTCCCACATCCTAGGTAGGGCGCACATTTTCCTTCCTGCCATCACAGGGAGGTGACACTCTCACCTTCTCTTTTTCCTCACGATGACCTAGCCTGGGCCACTGATGTCTTTTCTTCCTCAAAACAAAAACAAAAACAAACAAACAAAAACAGGAAAATGAGAGAAGGAAAACATGCAACATGGTTAGAGACATTCCCCATTTGGCCAAGAATAGATACTGCCATCATCAGAGAGGAAATCTCCTTTCTTTTTCCCTATGCTGTGTCTGATTCTGCCGTGAAAGCGTCAGATATTGGCAAGCTTAGAGGACATCGTCAATGGCCTGTAAAAATGCAACTGTGAATAGCAAGACTTTAGTTACAGTTCAGGAAAGAAAAACGGGTCCTGAGTCATGTCTCTGGCATTGGAAGGAGGTAAACATCCTACCCAGAAGACTGTAGGAATCCTAAACTTTCTAAGGTTACTGTGTGGGCATTAAGGACAACAATATACCACTTCTCCCTCTTGTAGGGGACAGTCACCCAGATTTCCTCAGGAAGAGCTACTTATTCCGAGATTTTTTTAAAAAGGATTTATTTGTTCTTATTTTAAGCGCAAGGGTGTTTTGCTTGCTTGTATGTCTGTACCATGTATATGTAGTGCCAATGGAGGCTAAAAGGAGTCAGATCCTCAGAACTGGAGACATAGACTGCTGTGGGTTGCAATATGGGTGCTAGCAGCCAGTGCTCTTGACTGCTGAGCCAAGCATCTCTCCAGCACTGGGATCTTTGAAAATAGTATAAAGCAGCAGTTCTCAACCTGTGAGCTGAGACCCTTTTGGGGGTCACACATCTTATGTCCTACATATCAGATGTTGGAATTATAATTCATAACAGTAGCAAAATTACAGTTATGAAGTAGCAACAAAGTAATTTTATGGTTGAGGGTCACCACATGAGGAATTATATTAAAGAGTCGCAGCATTAGGAAGGTTGGGAACTGCTGGAAGAACTGTCTAAAATGTGAATGTGGACAGTGGTCTCTGGTCATCTCTGTTCTCCTTCAGAGGGGCTCTGTCCTGCTCTGTAATCAGCTCTGACTGCTAGGCTACACTCTGTGTCATCTTGTCTGAATTTCTTTTAATGGAGAGCACAAGAACGAGGGACATGAGGATGATCTCAGTGAAAGATAAGGCTGACAATGCAGAGAGCTAGAAGACCCTCAGAAGTGCTGGCTCTCATTAAGCCCATGGCATTAGCTTCTCTGGGGTGGGCTCCATTAGGAAGACACTGAAGGGTAATTAGGCACCCTAGCATAACTTCTGTGCTCTTAACTGAACCCATGGAAGGCGTTCTTATTGATCCCAATCCAGAAGACTGCTGAAGAACAGATTAGCCCTTTTTTCATTGACGGCAAACGTATAACCACCGTCTTCCCACAACTTCCAGGCAAGTGTGAGCCATGGTTGACAGAAAATACATCGCCTTGAAGGACTCTTTTGGTCAGAATTGAATTGTATATTCAATACAATATATAGGATTTCCTCTGTACTTATTATTCATAAACCAAAAAATGCATGACACAGTTTTAAAACAAAGGTTTTTTCTTTATTTTTATTAACATTTTTTTCTTTATTTTACATACTGACCACAGTTTCTCCTCCCATTCCCTACCCCCTGACTCCCATCTACCCCCCTTTAAGTTTTTTTTTTTTTTACAAAACTAAGAGCCTCCTGAATGTTTTAGTGCATATGTTTTTAGAGTTTTAGCATGTGTTTTGTATATTTTTTGGTAGAATGTTTGTATTTTAAATCACATGGACTATGAGACACTTACTGAGGAAACTAGCTTTGATTAGAGCATTTGGCCAGAGGGTTGGTTGGGGAGGCTGGCTCCTACTTCTTGCTAGCACTCCTGTGAGGACAGAGCTGTTCTCTCCCTCCGAGGAGCACTCAGCACATTTGCATGCATGAGGAGGGAAGCCACAAAGCAATAGTAAAGCCCTCAATTGATTTCTTCTATTTTCTTTTCCAGCAAATGTCCCCAGCAGGCCACAGGTAAGAGCTAATGGCCCGATTGACTCTACTGTCTTGATTCCAACCTGGAGCCAAGCACATTCGCTACTATTGATTTAGTCCTGCTTCATTCTCCGTATAAATGAGTAAATCTACTTGATGTTTAAGTGTCACCTGATTCTAGACAACAGGTTGTTGCTCTGAAGATGTCAGGCAGGGAAATGGGGTTCCCAAGCCAGATTCTGCCAGGTACCCAAAGTAAGACGCTGGATCTCTGCTGTCATTCCATGCTATCTACTTTATAAAGTCACTCTGTGTAGATTTGACTGACCTTTCATCTCACATGTCTGTTTAGGGTCCCTGTCCCAGAACTCTGACTTTAAAATATGTCAGGTATCACAAGGACAATGCCGAGATCAGTACCCCAGTGAAGGGGAAGTTGCATTTTTTTTCATTAAAAGTATTTATTGAGCGCTTCTAGAAGCTGTAGCAGACTAGCGATCAGTTTTGTTTGATTTCCTAGGAGGAACTATTAGTTACAATATACCACAGGGCCACAGAAAATCTTTGGAGAACATTTTCTTCTGTGAATTTATTAGTCTTTTCAAAACAATGAACATTGTCTCATCTTATTGGCAAGCAGACCTGGGGTCTTGGCTAGAAGACAAGTATCTGTGAAGCCAACTGGTGACGCAGTAGGGAGAGGTAGCATCTTCTTCTGACGCCTTCTGTTGTCCTGGGAAATTGGAAGCAAGGATTATAAAGGGAAGTGAGACAGCAGAAGGTGAATTGGAGGTGTAAAGAGAGATGGGAAGATGTGGTCATGTGCAGAGGAGCAGACACACCCATACACAGAGTGTGACTGAGGTAGCTCTTAAGGAACACCACTTTGTATGCCGGCCATCCCTATGGTTGTGTTGACCTCCGTCCGCAATGAAGTTCACGAGCAGAAACAGCAGAGGTGACTCGCTTTGCATTAACCCATTTTGAAAAGTTGAATGTGTTAAGCCCGTTGAGTACAATTGATGAAGAGAAAAGGCAAAGAGGTGATTTTAAGGATTGAAACAGAGTCTTGTGTTCAATTGTGAGGGAAGTGAGGACATGTTCTGGGCAAAGATGGAAGAAGGAGAGGCAATGATCTACATCTTATGCTGTCAGAGGATGGGTGAAGTTACCATCCTGGCAGAAGTAAGCTGAAGTTAGAGATGGCTACCAGAAGGTGTGATGGTAGAAACTGAGGTATTAGAGGGGCCATAAGTAAAGATAATTGTTGGATTTGGAAGTTAGTGTGAATGGCTAAAGAGGGTAGAGGGTAGGGTCCCTGGCAGAGAGACCAGAGTTTTGGCAGATTCATGCTTATGGGTGTTGAAACCCTTAAGCTTTACAAACAGCCTCAAATTGGGTGACATTGAGATATTTGCTCCCTGAGAAATGAATGAGCATGGCTTAAGGGGCCAGCAGATGACTGCACAGTGGGTTACTGTACTCTGATGATGTGCAACTCCAATAAGCATCTTAGGGAGAAGAGGATGAAGTGAATCCTGAAAGCCCCTGTCCAGCCTGGTAAGAGGCCCATGGTGGTATGGAGCAGCATGGAGGGAAGAGTTATAGGGATCTTACAGGCTATCCAGAGGCTGTGTCTTTAAGAAGAGCTGGATGCTGATCCAAGTCAGTAGGGAAGGAAGTGTTCTGCGATGAATAGAGGGTGTGGGCTTCTTTGGTGATGGGCCATGTGACCCAGAGAGCACAGAAGGACAGACTGAAGAACTAGTGAGGGCAGGGCATGGCGACACATGTAGGAGTGTGCAGATCTCTATATGGTACAGAGCAGAGGGGATGGAGGAGTAAACAAGAATCAGGGGCATGTAGCAGAACTGGGAGAAAGGCCAAGGGTTGGTTCAGTTCTGATGGCTCCCTGGTGGGGTCGCGGCTGTAGAGATGGAGGTCAGGAAGGGAGAGGGAATCTTCTTGTCAGTCCTCAGACATGTTATGGCACAAGGCACATGACCTGAAACAGAGAGTGAACTTGGCGACCTTCTACTTTGGTATTAGATTTGAAGAAATTGAGTAGATGAGCTATACTGTTCTCTACTATAAAGCAACCTGGTGGGTGCGGTAACTATATAACTCTTTCTAGAGGTCTCCTTATTCTCTGCCTTCCATCATCTACTTTCTGTTCTTTTTCCTGGGGAATTTCCATAACCTGGGAAAGTCATCAAAGGAATCCATTTTCACCTGGATGCTTAACCTATACTTTCCTTCATAGGATTGTGAACTTAGATCTTTTTAGAATTAAATTCCACTTTTTAGAATTCTGCTGCCTAAAGAGAGAACTGCTACATACCTACTTAATACATGCCTCCAAATCCTGAATAAGAGAATGCATGAAAAGAATTTCAATCCATTTTTTTCAACAATAAATTAACACCAAAGCTTTAGTTGTCAACATAAATAATAAATAACACCTTCCCTTCCCACGTGGAACTTATCTCTAGCCTTCTGTGTTCTCAAAATACTTTGAATTAGTTGTTCGCCGTGACCCCCATGTTAGAAAGGAATGAGGATCTATGCCTGGATAGCTCTCACACCCATTTCACCAGGAAGGGCTCACCTCAGTACCTAGTAACCTAAAGCCCAGTGAGACTACCATTAACATTGACTGAGTTTTTCCTCCTTCAGACCAGCAGAATGCACAGTGCTGAAGCAAGTTCAATGGAGAATAGGCTTGAAACAAGACTCAACTGACTTTTAGTAGACCTGGAAGAAAAAGAGCCCCTTGGGGACCTTTGCCAGCAACTAATTTATGAATTCCCTCCAATTCCGGGGCATCAGTTACACATCAAGGTCTTCCACTGAATGAGAAGTCAGCGTAGGCAGGGGATCTTTGCTAGGAGTCCCAAAAGAGCCCACGTGATTCCACAAGGCATGTCTTTCCTTTAGGTTATTCCCTTTGGAGTAATTTGTTAAAAGTGTCTAATTTCAATACTTTTAAAAGACCAGTTGCTTGCCTTCCCCATGGAAACTGTTACACCATTTCCACAGTGTGGCCTGGATTTAGATCTTCTAGCATTTTCTGTTGAATGGACTCCTCTGCACATCTTTAATTGTAATTCCAGTCTCCTCCTCTCTAGGACAGAGAGGTTGGCTTTATCAAAGTGTCCCTCTCTAGGAGTCCTCTCCTAGTTCCCCAGGAAGACTGAGGTGCGGTCTTGGTAGTCTAACACGTACATCATTGCTACCTTCCCCAAGAAGAAGCCAAGACCTCTCAATTTTTACCAGCCTTGTTTTCTAGCCTGGGCAAGAAAAAAGACATCTGGACACCCTCCCCCACTTTATGCTGATGTTTACTACTCTAATGCAAAACTGACCATGTGACTTCAGGGTGAAAGGAAAAGTCCTCATCCTAGGGAGCAGAAGTCAGATGAACAGTAGGGGTCCCCTTTGAACACAGCCATATAAAGTTGGGTTAGTTCTGAAAGAAGCCCTATTTTTCCTTGTAGACTTGACAAGTCTTCATTACCCAGACAGCCTTTTGCAAATGCTGTTCTGACCTTGGTGTTTTCCCTTGCCACAGGCAATGTGAAGCATTCATCTAGCCAACCAACACTTCTCGACCTTCAGTATTGCCCTCTTCTGCAAATGCCAATTCCAAGTCCCATTCAACCTGAAGCTCCGTGGCTCCATGACACATGCTGTTGAGCGTTGACTGTGTGTTCTACTGAGGGAGTGAAACACTGATTATCCAAAGAGAAGAGGATATTTTGTTTTTATAATAACATATATTATTGTTTTCTTCTCCCCTTTCTATGCAACTGTAAATTAATGAACACAGAAGTATTTGGGAGGTGGTAATGCATTTGTCACTGATTTGTATAATATATACAGCCGTGGGAAAGTGGGTGGGGGCTTTCTAATGAAACTGTCTTTTTAATAACCAAGAGAAAAATTGCATAAGAATTAGACCACTTGGCATTATTACATTCCTTCTGCTGTTAATATTAACCTTGTACAATAACTTCATTTCTTATTTGACTATTTTACCATTATATTTTTGGTTATTTATAATTCATCAGCCACACGACCAAATAGATTCTGTGTATTTGTTTCTATGATTTGGCCAAATTAATAAGTTCATATATTTGAATCAAATATGTTATGTATGTGGAGTAAGCAGCAGTTCTGGAAGGAAAAGTCCTCATCCTAGGGAGCAGAAGTCAGATGGGCAGTAGGGGTCCCCTTTGAACACAGCCATATTTTACTTTAGTTGACATCACCCACTTAGCCCTCTAGTAACCATTGGATGACTCCATTAAGAATCCTGTGGACTAATTGGCAAGGCTGCTGGGGTATTTTTCCTCCTGCTTTTTATTCCTTTCTTGTAAGTAGATCTTGATGTCTTTATTTATTTCATCTTGCAGTCTTCCTGATAAAGAAGACTATCTTGTAATAGTTTCAAAGATCATTTTACCAAAGGTTGCCATTTAAGCATATTTTCATTTTGACTCAGAAACAAAAGTTGGTACAACCTCGCGTACCTTCCGCCTTGGTTGTCATCATAAGATACACAGTAGACTTTTTTTCCCCTTTCCCCATTGTGAGACTAGATCACATCATGGTCTTCAGTTCCCTTTAAATAGAATTTAGTTGTTGTTTTTGTATTTTCAAGTCCCTTGTAAGTTTTGAAAGCCCTGGCTGTTTCCTTTATGGAAGCAGACAGACACTTAGTGCCTGTCTCATGGGAACCTTTGGGGCAAATGGACAGATGTCTCATGACCCCTCATGTGACCAGTAGAACATCTGGGAAGGATGTCAATCCCCAGCCTATACCACTGCTTCTCCAGAATGAAACCAATGCTTAGATGATTGTACCCCTGCCTCTACTTCTGAGTGCATTCAACTAGATACTTGGTTGTTTTTTTCTCTCTCTTTCTTTCTTTATAATTTAACATTTAATTAATTACCAACTGTAGAGAAACCAAAAATAAAAGCAAAGGTAATATGTTTTGATTCAAACATATGTGCTTTTAAAACATCAGGACATGCTAACTTTGGGTTCTCTTTCGCTGGGATCTGGCTGGAAGGAGGCTGAAAGTCAGCAGTTGCTATTCTTTTAGGATTGGTTGGGTGGGTTGGGGGGCAAGGGTATCTATTTGCAGCATAGATATTTTGAGAAGAAGAAAATTGTTTTATATACGAGGAGAGCCATGATCACCTTTCTACCTCAGGACCACCTTCCTCCATCGTGTTGGACATAGCTTTATGTGCCGCAGTGTGCAAAGCCTAGTGCTTTATTCAGGCCATTTCATACCCAAGAAAGCACCTATTTAAACAACGTCAACAGAAAACTCCCTGAACTCAGAAGCCCGGGTTGTAGATTTGGTGTCTTCCTTGTTCTTACTTTGACAAGACGTGTACTCTTTTTTTTTGTTGTTTTCCTGCCTGTATTTGTATGCAAAATGAACTCTATCTGCTATTACAGAAAAAGCTACACAAAACACTACATTTTAAGCTTCTGAATAATAAGAGGAAATATATCGCAGTAACCACAATGAGAAATAAGTGTATTGTTCTTTTGAAATATGTGGTAAAGAACTAATCACAGACTGTCATCTAATCTGGTTACATATTGTATTTTTCATCCTGAATAAAAGTAATTTTAACACAAAATGACTCTGCTGTTTGGCTGTGTTCACTGATGGAATCTGGTCTTTGAATGTATATGATGAAAGCAAACTGTAGAGAGGCCTATATTCTGATAAATCTACATATTCTAATCCAGTCTCCTTTCACTCATTATCCCTCTCTTTCCTTTCTTGCTCATACATATGTTTATCTATTTCTCAATTTCCTGTACAGAACAAAATCTTGTTGCTAGGGGAAATGGCTGTTAGAAGTATATCCATGTAGCTTATTGGGCCTTCATTTTTATAGCTTGGTACTACTGGCATTTAGCTGGTTACTCTCTCAAATCCACTTTCATCACTAGACTGTCTCAGCTGTCTGTTGCTGAAAAGCAACCCCATAACCAAGGCAACTTATACAAGAAAACATTTAATACAGGGACCCACAGTTCCAGAGGATTAGAGTCCACGATCATCGTGGTGGGAAGCATGACAGCGGGCAGGCAGGCATGGTGCTAGAGAAGTAGCTGAGAGCTTCCATCTGATGGGCAAGCACGCAACAGGTAGGGGGATGGGTAGAACTGGAATGGCAGAGGCTTTTGAAATCTCAAAGCCCATCATCCCCAGTGACACACCTCCTAGCCCTTCCCAAACAGTTCTACCAGCTGAGAACCAAGCACTCCACATATGACACTCTGGGGGCCATTCTCAAGTCATCTGCTCATGGGTACTGTTGACTTGAACCAGTCTGGTATCACATATAACTTGCCTCTGAAGCTCTCTGGTACAAAACAGTGTCAAGAATTGTGTTACTTAACAACCCTCCAAGAATTAGAAAATTCCCCCATAATGTATCACTGGAAAAGAGAAGAGAAACAATCCAGTGACCTAACATTTTAAACATCTTGTCTACCATGAAGTATCACGCACGTTAATGATTCCTAAAGAAATCGTTGGTTTCCAGCAACTGATTCATCACTGAAAAGGGGAGTGACAAGGAGAAGAGCTTTGTTTCTGTATTTAGCCTTCACCTTACTATGTGCCATTGAAATTCTAACTGTACTTTAAATAAAATAGTTGCTCTCAATATTTATTTACTATTTGAGCAGACTGGTTCTTCAGATACCTTCCCCATGTGATTAGTCTAAAACTTAGTGAAGATACACCAAAATACTGAAACCTGTGTGCTGAATGCAAAACCTCATTAACTTGATTACTCCGAAGCTCTTGTTAACTGACTGGGCTTGCTGTAGGGGCTGAGTCCACACTACCAGTGTGTTCAGTACCTGTGATGGCCATTGTCCCATGGTGAAGGTAAATAGCAGCCATCGAATCTCACTAATCAGCACTGGTTCAGTTCGGGGGAGGTGTGGTCAGGCTCACACAGAAGGATGATAGAAACTCGGCTGTATTCTTTCATCCACTAGCAAGCTAACCTGGTCTCATGCAAAGACAGAGATGTGGGGGGTTTTAGCAAAGAAAATCACAAGGCTAGGGAAGAGTAGATAACGTCTCACTGAGATAAGCTGCAGAGAGTTGCAGCCTCATAGCACAGGATGAAATGGGGCTTTTTATTTTTTATTGTTTATGATTATTTATTTGTTTGTTGTTCCATGCGAGCCCTAGGATATGTGAAGCAAAGGTTTTAGGGCCAAAATATTAAAGTATTCTTCCTCGGGCATCTTATCGGTCACCTCAGTGGAATGGAAGAGGAAAGAAATAGCCCCTTGCCGTATTTGTTTTTTTTTTCTGATTTATTTCTATATTGCCCTTTTTTAAGTCATGCGTATGGCTTTAAAAATCAGTCCTTGCTGATTTGGGTGTATTATATGACTTATTCTCCCTTCGTACCTTGCCAGAATACAGCCTGCCTGCCTGTGAGTCTGTCTGTCTTTCTCCCTTTCTTTCTGTTTGTTGAAAAAAAAATTTTTAATTAATGTGAATTACCTAGGAGGATCTGGGGAAAGGGAAAGAATATGATCAAACTGCATCACATGAATGAAATTTGAAATAATAATAAAATTAGTGTGTATTAAGTCCCTCCAACTCAAGCTAACAATTCAGCCTCAGAGGACAGGAAGATTTGGCATGTCTGTGGCCCAAAAAATCTTAAGGAAAAAAAAAAAAACCTTAAGGGTGAAAACAGAATTAGAAAACACAGAGGGAATTTGGATTTAAAAATAGAGTAAAGGTATCCTAAGTTCAGACTGAATGAAATATTTTAGGTAGAAGAATTTTAGGTAGAAGAATATTTCGTAGGCTCCTCCTCACTTTGCCAGATGAACAGGGCACATGTGATGTATTTGTTCCCCAGCAGCCCGGCATGTGTTTAGAGGCATGGGGTTTGCATAAGCTTTCAAACAGGTACTAGCTCTCAGAACCCTGTACATCGCGGCATGGTAGAATATTTATGCTCAACTTGCACTTGGTTCCAGGTACTCCCTTGCAGGCAGCTTATTTGCTGCTCTTTTTTGAATATTGCATGTAGGGAATTTGGAAAATTCATTTGACAGCTTACCCTTAGCCTAACTCTGTTCCCAGAAGTTCCAAAAGTCACAAGTACCGAATTTCTAATTCTATTTGTCAAGGTTCTCCAAGAAACAGATTCAAAGTACATAAAGGGAGACAGATGTAGAAAATTACTTTGAAAGATCAGCTCACACTATTATGCAGGCTAAGAGATCCTACCTTCTCTGTCTTGCAAGCTGGAGGCCTGGTAGGGTCCTTTCAGTCTGTTCCCGAGAGCAAGGGAGATGGAAAGGGTGCTCCATTTGGAGTCCCCTGGCCAGAGAGGCAGAAGCATCAATAACCAAAACCAGCAGAGGGTGGCTCTCCCAGCTCAAGCAGAAAGACCCTGTTTACCCTTCTGGCTCTCATTTTACTTTAGCTCCCAATGGACTGGCTAGTCCTTACCACACCCATGTCGAGGTGAGGTCTTTCCATCCAGCATCTCAAATGCTAAGTTCTTCCAGAAATATCCTCACTGTCTCCAAAATATTTTACCAGATACGTGAGCATTCCTTAGCCTGGTCACATTGATACATGCAACTATTTCATCATAATACATGGGACAAGTTTCCAGATTACTATGGGATGTAATTACAATTAGTATTCAATATTACTCTCTTATGACCATTCCCCCCCCCATGTTAAGATACTGATTTTCAATGTTTTACTGCAAATTAATTATTTTTTTAATCTTTTCTGCTTTAATTTAGATAAAATAAAATTTCACTATTTAAACTACTGGGAGGACTTAAATCATTCTAGTATAAGTCTGGCTCAAGTTGAAGTTATCAGAAATTCAGGACAGGGTCATTTATTAACTCTGCCTCCTGTGGGCTTGATTTACCCCATGGATAGCTGTAGGCAGTATCACATGTTGTACCTGTGCCCACAACTGTTGCATCCAATCTTCATGTGTGCTGTTCTCATCTTGCCATCTCAAGCTGGTTTATCACGTCAATAATTTCAGAAGCTATTTGCCACAAAGCAAGAATCTTTGCTGAATACAATGTCCACACAATTTCAGTAATGAATAATAAATGAGACCCAGTACTGTATGATTAACTGGACGATGCTAACCAGGTATCAAAATGCTATCTTGACTTAAAATTTGGTCATATAATTTAGACTGTTACTTCAAACAAACGAACAAAAAACCACCGTCAACAACAACAGCAAACCACTGTCCAAATTGCTAGAAACAGTGAGTGACCAGTCTGCCTCAGGGTGTTCCTAATCTAGTAGATAAACTCAGGGCTAAGCAAGGTGTTTCAGTAACAGTAATGGGAAGTAGAGGAGGCTGAGTATGTTCCTATACAGGTGTAGCTGCACGCCACACTCCCAGGATATGTTTCTGCATACGGGGATATTGCTCTAGAAAAGCATGGATGGAAGTAGCCACCCCCTGTTGGAGCCGATGGTGACAAATGATGTCATTCAGTGATGTGCATAACGGTGACACTAACTTGCAAGTGAAGTCCAGCATTTCCCTAATAAAAAAAATTGCTTCTGACTTAACTAATTTTGAGAAGCTCTGTTGCATTAGTGCCCTTTGAAGACTCACAGCGCACATCAGCATGTTAAAAGCTGTGAGAAGTCGGAGGAAAGGTAACTTGCCTTAATGCAGTGGTTCTCAACCTGTGGGTCATGACCCCTCTGGGGAGCAAAGGACCCTTTCACAGGGGTTGCATATCAGATATCCTGCTTACCAGACATTTGCATTATGATTCATAACATGAGCAAAATTACAGTTACGAAATAACAATACAGTAATGTTATGGTTGGGGGATCACTACAACATGAGGAACTGTATTAAAGGGTTGCAGCAGCATTTAGAAGGTTGAGAACCCCTGCCTTAATGTAAATCACTCTGGATCTCTAACTCTTGTGTTTTCTCAGCCTGGTCTGTGATGTATGAAGTCTATAAAAATGACTCAAGAATAGTTCTCTAAAAAATTATCAATAACAATTTAGGATTGCATACATGAGAGGAGCCCTGCATGGCAACTAAAGAGAGCCTTATCAAAAGGCCTGCTTGAGCATGAATAAGGAGCAAGGAAAGGAAATCAGAATGGTACTTTGTGCTCGGCTTCGCTCGCAAAGTATTGTTCTTAAATAAAAATGATCTATACTTCTAGGAAGTGTGTCTTCATGATGGCTCGGCCAGGCATGAATGCAAACGTAGCAAGGGGTGGGTCAGGCAGAGCTGTCTACAGGCTCTTTCCTGATACCTCACTGTTCACTGTTTCTTCGTTAGACTAACAACAGGATGCCAGGCACGGAAAGCTTGCCTGTGACGCCAGCACTGGGCAGGTGGGGGCGGGAGAATGGGGAGTTCAGGGGTCATTCTGGATTATATAGCTAGCTTGATGGTAGCCTGGGGCTGTCTCAAAACAAAAAAAAAATATATAGATAAGTAAACAAAATAAAGAGAAAGGAAACAGGAATGCCAGACATCTTCCAGCCAGAACGCGACTATCACACACTACCTGGAAACACCCCATTTATTTCCTCTCTCCTTTATTTGAGGATCTGAGTCTTTCG